TCTGATGGTTCTGTTTGTGGTTCTGATGGTTCTGTTTATGGTTCTGTGAGGTTCTGTGAGGTTCTGATGGTTCTGTTTGTGGTTCTGTGAGGTTCTGTGAGGTTCTGATGGTTCTGATGGTTCTGTTTGTGGTTCTGTGAGGTTCTGTTTGTGGTTCTGATGGTTCTGTTTATGGTTCTGTGAGGTTCTGTGAGGTTCTGATGGTTCTGTTTGTGGTTCTGTGAGGTTCTGTGAGGTTCTGATGGTTCTGTGAGGTTCTGATGGTTCTGTTTGTGGTTCTGTGAGGTTCTGTGAGGTTCTGATGGTTCGGTTTGTGGTTCTGATGGTTCTGTTTGTGGTTCTGATGGTTCTGTTTGTGGTTCTGTGAGGTTCTGTACTCACACTGACTCATCCACAGCCGCAGCGTCATCAGGACGTTGAAGGCCACCGTCTTCATGAAGATGACTCTCAGGCCGAAGATGGTAATGGAGGCCAGATTCACCATCTCATCTGCAAACAGCAGCAGCCATTAAACCCAGAACTGGTTTTTAACACAGCAGAGGCCATTAGAGTCGGGTTCAACGTACCTGGTTCCAGACTGGCGTCACACTGGACAGGCTCTGTGGTGTTATCTGAACAGCAAACAGAACAAACAGTCATCAGTAAATCAGTGATGGAACCAGGAAACTGAGTCATGGTGGAAAGTTTGACTCGTTCAGACTCACCTCCACATTTATCCGTTTCCCCTATAAAGGCCACCTGGCTGTAGTAACCTGTTGGTTTCCCATTGGCATCTGTTATCTGACTGCCGTTTGCTTTGTCAAACCCAGCTGCATTGTGTTGAGTAAATCCAGTTGCCAGACAAACTGTGGTGTCGTTATCTTTCAGCTTGTAATAATCCGGCGGAATTACTTCCTCTGAAACACACAGAAGCAGAAATCATGAATATAAAACGTTAAACCTTTTTGTTTCCTTCAGTGGCAGAAAGCTTGTTGGGTTCTTCATGAGTCCATCTAGTTCTGAGCCGGTTCTGCCAATCCGACCAGAACCAGAACATCCGATAAATGATGATGGTTTCATTAATTCACTCTTACAAATTTTATCATTTCTGTTGAAGTTTAAACTCGTTTCTAGTTTTGGTTTAGAAAATGTTGAGTTTGTTTTTCGTTATATTTGATCCTGATTTTGATCTTTATTCAGCCAAACAAACGTCCAAATATAAAGAAACATAAAGAAAATAAAGATAAATGTTTCATGTCTTCAGACGACATAAAACTGGTCTTTATTTAACTGCCATAAAGACAAAAAGTTACAGTAAAGAAAATGGAAAACTGATTTAAACCGGTTTAAACTGGTTTAAACCGGTTTAAACTGGTTTAAACCGGTTTAAACTGTTGGTTTACAGTTTAAACAGTTAAACTGTACAGATTAATTAACTCTGGTTAATAAATCTCATATTTTAATTTTGTTGGTAAATGATTCCAACGTGTCATTTCCTGAAACTTTTATTAAAGTTTCATGTAAACATCTCCACCTCCATATTAATGTTATTGATCATAACTGAACCACAGTGAACTTCACCGTCACAAAAAGCTGCTGGTTCTGATAAACCGGGTCCGATTCACCAGGTTTTACCTTTTTATGATAAAATATATTAAATGTTTTCATGACCAATCACTGAGATCAAATCTTAAATTTATCTGTTCAGTTTTTTATTGCATAGTTAAAATGTTGGCTGGATAATTATTTATATTAATTATTCATTTTAAAACTGAACTTGAGGACAAAATAATTAAACTGAATCTCAAATAAATAAATTAATTTAAAAACTGTTAGAGGCTTAAATAAAAATCCTGCTGCAGATTTTAGAGCAGAAAAAAAATCTGTGATGTGAAAAATTTAGATTTTTTTGGTTGTTTTTCATAAATATTAAATGTTGGGAATCGACTTACTGGGAGAAACAAACAGTTTGAGTCCAGATCTAAACGGCAGCTTAACGTTGTTGTTATTCACACTGGAGTGGAACCAGTAACAGAAACCAGTTCAGATCTGGAACCGGTTCCAGTGTTCATATGGACCAAAATGATCAATCTGAATTAGAATTAAACTGTTTCATCCTTCAAAATATTTGATTTATGTTACAGAAACTTAAAGCATCTTTGAGGCGATTTAATGTTTGGACCAAATTATTGTAGAAATTCAAGTTTTGAGTTAAAATAATGAAAAATGTTGAACTGGACTCACTTTGCTCCACCAACAGTTTGGATCCGGATCCAAACCGGATTTTATTGGTTCCAGTTTGTGTCACACAGTGAGCCGGGGTCAGACGGAAACTACATCAGATTATCCATCAGATTATCAGATTATCCATCAGATTATCCATCAGATTATCCATCAGATTATCAGATTATCCATCAGATTATCCATCAGATTATCCATCAGATTATCAGATAATCCATCAGATTATTTTAGCGTTAAATCTGAATACAGATTATAATAATTAGCTGCATCATTTATGCATCAACTCCTGAATTTCATCCATTTCTGGCTCTGTGATGATCAGGATTGTTATTTCTGTGGAAATGATCTGAATGTTTTTCCAGTTTATCTGAATCTGAGCTACGATTCAACTAAATATGAATTATTCATCTGTTATTGTCAGAAAATGGATTAGCATCACCTAATAAAGAAAAACTGAAGTTAATTGTATATTTTTAGATAATTTGATGCTTTTAAAACTCTTTAATCATGTTGAACTGGACTCACTTTGCTCCACCGACAGTTTGGTTCCGGGTCCAAACCGGATCTTAGCGGTTCCGCTCTGAGTCACACAGCGACGGAAACCCGACCGATAATCTGGTTTTATTGATTTAACATTTCTTCTGGATTTATTCTAAATAAAATCCTGATTGGTGGTGAAATTTATAAGAACTAAAGTTTCTGTTCAGAGCAGAAAAATATTCATCAGATTTATAATAATTATTATTTACAAAAGGTTCAAAACTCCTGAATATTTTAACTCATTATTGATGATAATATTCAGTTTCTGTAGGGAAGTTTGTTCTGCTGCGACGATCAAAGTCACCTAGACGAAATAACGAATAATCTGGAAAACATTTCACCAGAACCACGTTCTGGGTCCAACTGAGGAACCAACAGAACCGGCAGAACCAGTAGAACCAACAGAACCAGTAGAACCGGCAGAACCGGCAGAACCAGTAGAACCAACAGAACCGGCAGAACCAGTAGAACCAACAGAACCATTAAAACCAACAGAACCAACAGAACCGGCAGAACCAACAGAACCAACAGAACCGGCAGAACCAGTAGAACCAACAGAACCAGTAGAACCAACAGAACCAACAGAACCAGTAGAACCAACAGAACCAGTAAAACCAACAGAACCAACAGAACCAGCAGAACGTTCCCAGGTCCAACTCACGCTGCGACACGGCGACCCGGACTCCGGGTCCAAACAGCAGCTTGTTGGTGTTGGTGTTCACACCGCCAGTCGGTCCAAAACAAAAACTGCAGCAGAACCTTCAGTTCCTCTCCGGTTCCGGTTCTGGTTCTGGTTCTTTGGGGTTTAATTTACATTAATCTGAGGTTAAAGTCCAAACCTCTTTAATCCGTAAAGAAACGTTTCTGGATGAAGATGTAAAATAACTGAGCAGAAGTTTAAATAATAATTATATTAAATAAGAATAAAAGTTTGACTCAAACGTTTCAGTCATCAGATTTAAACAGTAAAGATGGTTTTAAATAATTTTATGGTTTATTCTGAATATTTAAACTGAACTCGCTCGTTTCCATGGTAACTGAAACTCCAGACCAAAAACTCCAACAAAAACCAAAACCATGTTTATTAAATCTGACTTAAAAACTGAAGGAGTTTCTCTGCTGAGTTAAAATCAATATTTGAATATTGATAATCGATCAATCAGCTGTTAATGTTCATGTTTGATTTTCTTACTGTGTTGAACTTGCAGCTCGGTTCCGGACCCAAAGCGGACCTTCCTGGTCCCGTCATTCACACAGCGACATGCAGCTCAGCAGAAACTCATCAGATTACAGATTACTGCTGTTAATCTGAGCCGCCTGGTCATCAGATTACAGATTACTGCTGTTAATCTGAGCCGCCTGGTCATCAGATTACAGATTACAGATGATTTACTTTGGATTCTCGGCGTCTTTAAATCGTCTGAACTGACCCTGAAGTTTCATATTCAGCCGTTTTTAATGAAAATAATCTGCTGATTTCTTTACTAAACAAATTATATCCAGTCAATAAACAGTTCAGATTTTTAGCAGGTTTCCAGATTAAAAATGATCAAAAGCTTTGAAATGATTCTGGAGTTGTAACAGTTTATTAATCTCTGTGTGGTTGAAATGAAATGAAATGAAATGAAATGAAATGAAATGAAATGAAATTTTATTCGAACATGATACAAATATAAAATAAAATAGTGCACAGTAACAAGAAGTGCATAAGAAAGAAGAGAAAATACAGATTTTTTTGTTTCAGTTAACATATCATGCTCAAAATGGGGTAGGAAGAAGTGAGAACTTATAAACTCCTACCCCTAAACACTTGAAACTTTAGAGTCCTACTGTCATTAAAAAAATCAAAATCAAAGTAGCAGTCAGAAGTAACAGTTACTAATATTTACCTATACATTTTCCCATTTTATTCTGGTTTGTCTTTCTAAACCCTTACACCAAGTTATCTGCAATACACACCTTATTGCTTTCCATCACCCGTATGTGTATCTATTGAAAATTACCTCTTTGTACTTTCTTTTGAATTGCGTCATCATGACGCTTTATAAATTCAAATATCAGATATTTATTAACTATAAAGGTGAAATTCTTACTGGACTGGATGTAAAGTTTGACTCCGGTGCCAAACATCGTTTTCCTGGCAGCTTCGTTCACACAGTTCAGAGCATCGAGTCAGAAACCTGCAAACCTTCAGCAGCTTTCTGAATAATCTGAATAATCTGAATAATCTGAATAAATTAACCATCAGGTTAAAACCTTCATGTTTTAATCCTTCAGTCGGTTCTGAGAAAATCTGAATCCCGATAAACAGAAAGTTAAAAAACACTTTGATGTTAAAATGTAATAAACGGTAAAATCATTTCATTAAATGTAACAAAGTGACGAATCTTTGAGTTTTTTAAAGATGATATTTGCTGCAGTTTGACTCCAGACCAGAAACTGATCAATAACTGATAATATGATCAGGATCTGAACTGGTTTCAAGCAGATTTTCATGTTTAATAAAAACTTTATCAATAAAAGCATCAATATTCAAACTATGGTTTAGATTTTCTGATATTTGGTGGATTTTGTGTAAAATGATCATTTATTGAGGTTTTACAGTGTCTGAACGTGAACTGGTTTCCTCTCCTACCAGTTAATCCAGTTTGGATCCTCAGAGTTTCACAGTGAGAACAGGAATGGAATCTGAGCTGGATTATAATCTGAGCTCCAGATTAACGTCCAGGCAAGAATAATCTGGAGTTTAATTAACCCAACACCAATAAAAGATATTAAAGCTTATAGTGAGAATCTGCTCCCAGTTCAACCAGTTAACTGGTTTCCAGCTAAATAGAAACACATTCAGTGTTAAAGTGTAACTGGTTAAATGTGCTGCTCTTACTGGTTCCTACGTTCAGACTGGTTCCAGAACCGAAGCGGATCCTGACTCCGTCATTCACACCGTGGAACCCGACCCGACAAAAACCCAGCAGAACCACCGAGGCTTTAATGGGCAAACTGGTTTATTACCATTTATACTGGAACTGAGGACATTATGGCTAATATTTAGTTTATTTCATTTGAATAATTTAGTTTAAATGGACTTTTTACAGTTAAAATGTTTATTAATTTTAATAAATAAACATGAATATGA